ATTCATAAACTATTATATTAATTATAATCAATTTTAATAGTTATTAGTAATATAACTTTAGATTAAACTAATATAATTTAATATTATTTATAGTATATATATATAAAATATACTAATATCAACAAGAAAAAATGCTAGTACTTAAACTATAATTATATAGTTCGGTTTTTTGTTTTGTGAACAGAGGATCTGGGGAGTTTAAAAATACACAAAACAATTTCAAATTTGCCGACAAAAAATTCAGTGCTGAAAGTCAAAAAATACCGAACCATGACTTAATTAATAATTTTGCGCTTTGAATATTGTTTTCAAAACTTTTTTCTTGTTTTGAAACTTCATCAAAAGAGTTTGAAACGTAAAATGAGGTATTTTGGAATAACTCAGCATTTAAGTGGCATATAACGGGAGAATAAAATGTTATACATAACATTTAATCAGTTCGCTTTTTTAATCCCACTTTTGTAGTATATTGTTCAGCTGTAATAATTCATCTTCTTTGTTATTTTATTTTTAAAATCAAAAATAAACTATAAAATCCTAATAAAACACACTTGAATCAAAACGAAAGAAGAGATCGAGAAAAAATGTTCTTTTCATCTTGTTTTAACTTTAGATGATATTCAAGTATTACCCGATAATTAGCACTGTTTAATATTGATACAACCCACATGAAAAACATTAAGAACTCCAATTAAACATATACAAATAACAAGTTTGAAAAATGTCAACATCAGTCTATTTTTCCATCAAAAAACGGCAAAAATGGAAAGTGCCTACCTTTGAAAAGAATAATAATTCAAATTTTAGTTTTCTTTTAAATTTGATAAAACTAGACAATTGCCATATTTATATTAGAATAAGAGTCATAACTATACCAATAGTATAGTATTGCCTTTTAAGGTAGAAAATCATCTATTAACTTATTAATAGCAGTTCATGAAATCGTTGGTTGTTTGTTCCTCTTTTTAAACAGACAAAATGGACTGAATGGATAGTTTGAAGTCCCAGCTGTTACTTCTTTTGTCGATTCTTTCTCTTCACTTACATCGGGGTGCATAGCGTATTTCCATGAGAAGGCCGAGATAGAGAAAGACTATGGCAATCGTCTTTTAACACTCTCTAAAGCACCTTTAAGAGGCGCTTCTGTATGTGTTCAGCGACTTCTCCCAAAGGACAATATGTCCACGTTTGTTTTTTAATAGTTTATTAATTAATATTAGTATTATATCCAGACGAACACTCTCTGAATTTTACACAAAGTATTACACTTATAGTTCTTTTTTAGTATTTTAAGTACTTTTATAGTTTTTTATTTCATTGTTTATTAACTCATTCAAAGTACACTAAAAAATTTCATCGAGAAATACACAAAGCAGACAACACAACTTGCTGAGTGCCACATTAACGCTTCAAAGTTCATTGAGGAGAACATTATCAAAACAACAAAGGCGGCCGCGTTACAATTAGAGCAGAGGATGTCACTGATTAATAAAGAAATGAACCAACGTGTGAGACAATACAGTGACATGGTCGCAACTATCGTTCGCATAAAAGAGAACAAAGAGTCTGCCACGAAGGAACTCACCAAAATACGAAAACAACGTCCGACAAAAGGGAAGAAGGCGTACCACAAGTTTGAGTGTAAAGAGGGGACTCTTACTGACTCGATCAAAAAGTCAAATTGCGACCTCAAGAATTGCGTTGCACTTGCGAACAAAATCCGGTTGAATGTATATGGCAAGGACATGGAAGATGCTTTAGAAAAGAGCGAGTCTGTAGCAAAGGAATGGAATTGTCTTATTGTTGGGATGTTTGAGCTGGGCAATGATCTTGATATTGAGCTTCTGAAGAATAGTAGTAAGTACTGTCTTAAAGTCCAAGAGGGCGTTAAAGAGATATCGTGGGATAAGGACTTAGAAGAGTTCATACTCAAATGGAAAAATGTTCATGTTGTCAATGAAATTGTATTAAAAACGGAAGACGTGAACGAAACACCAACCGTTGTAACTGCACCAAATATGCTCAATGGATCTGACTCCGCCACGTCTTCTTCACAAGACAACCAGTCTTCCTAGTGTGTTTAATTTATAGTTTAATTACTATCGGTTTTACTATAGCAATCGTTCCTATTGACTAAACTATAATATTAATATTGTAACTATATATTAAACTATACTTAATTTTGCTCTTTCTGTGCAAATTTC